TGTTGAGGATTACTAATTCTGTAATTTATAAATCGATTATGGGGTAGCGTTCGATATTATTTTAATTTTAAGGATGTACATTTTGTACTATAATTAGTAAATGTTTTATAAGAGGTTAATAATTAGTTCATCTGTATTAGGATTTAGTTGATCCAGCAGATAACAATATTAATTGTTGTTAAATAACTCGTTGTGGTTAATTATCGATGTATCGGAATGTAATCGATTATCGATTTGTACTATGGTCCGATTCGAAACTGTTTGATTTGTAGATATCTAATTGTTTGGTTAGAGAAATGAGAAATGAGAAATTACGCATTTTTCTTTCTTTCCAAACTTACCAGCGAATGTAGAAGGTCATTAATTTAGTCAGTGTGTGTGTGTTCCTGTTTTAATTTTATGCATTTGTAGAATGTTTTTGGTTATGCATAATAATTAAAACCGCCCTTAGTGTTTGGGATTGCGGGATTTGAACACCATACATATATTTTTTAATAATACAGTTGTATTCTGGATTTGGCTAATGACGCAGTTGAAAAGCTGGCCGGTAAGTTTTTTTTGGTCACTTTTTTTGTGTATCTTCATAGAACCCGTGTTTTTAGGAGCGTTTAGTACATCGTTTTGATATCAAGATTTATACCAAGTTTTTGTACGAATATATGTACCATTACGGTTTTGGCAACGATTAGTCCTTGGATTTTTACCGTGACAATAGAGAATAATTTATGGAATTTGATCATATTTGTGATGTTGTATCATGCTTATATGATGTCCTGTTAATTGGATTTTCTTTGATTTGGATTGGATGTCTTCCATTCTAAGAGTTTAGTTTGTCGAGTGGTGTACAATGAGTCCATGTAGTTTGCGGTTTACATCTTTAACATAGAGCCACCAACAGTACCATTTTGATGTCAACATAAGTATCTATACTTAACGAAAACAGAGTCTTGAATCTTCGGATACTCCGTGGATTGTTTATCTACTGATTAAGCTAAGTAATTTTTTATTTTATATATAATTTTAATATGAATAATGATGTTATATTTTCTGGCACAGCTCTGATACTAACTGTACAATTTCTGACATGCCTGCTCTGATTTCTCTAGGTTTACTATGAGAAATTAACATTGGTTGATTCGGCACCTCAATGTTGATGTTGTATTTTTCACGATAATATTGAATGCATGATATTTGAGTGTCATCTTTTTTGGAAAATGTACTACTCGGGGTAGTGTTAAAATCTATATCGTCAATTTTGTAAGTCTTATTATTATAATAAGTCAATACGATGCTTCCGATAATTTTAGACTGAAATTCGGCCTTAACATTGTTGCTTTGGCATTCCAAAAGCATATCATATACATTGTCCATTCTCATGTGTTTAAATTTTAATTCGCAATTCATTAAGATATTTTTCTCATGTTGTCTCATTGAAGTGAGAAAACTAGACTCATAGGTTTTGTTTTGGCTCCAACGAATTAGATTTGGTTATTTTCAGTAACTTTAATATTGAATTGTTTTGTCAAATTTTACATACAAGATTCGTTTGAGTTGAAATGTATTTAAATTTGATGTAACTTTATTTTAGGATTTAATAAGTTGCAACTCATAGAACATATAGAAGTCTTTAATTTAATAACGTTATAATATTTTATTTGTAAGCTGCTGCATGATCCTTTGTATAGGACTTATTGTACTTGTATTCTACATATTCGACTACTCGACTAATGTAAAAATGTATATTTCTTTGTAATTATTATCTATAATAAGAACTAATCGGTTCTATCTTTGTGATTACTTTCATGTCTCTTAAGTTTCTTGCTAAAGTCTGTTTTAAAAAGGGTTAAAATAAATTTGATTGATTTGCACAGTTATTTTAGTTTTATTTATATTTAGGTATTGGAAAACTTAAATTCTGGCCCGACCTTTAGTACACCAACTAAAGTTAGGAGAACCCAAGAACCCTTGTATAGTCTAATATTCACAGCTACCCTTGCAAAATAACAGGTAGCATAGGTCCACTTGGGCGTTGTACAAGCAATTATGATAGTGATAACTCAGATTCTGAACCATTGTTTTCAGTGTATTATAAGGTGTCTGTGTCTGACGAACTTTTAGAGTCATCACTGTGGTCACTTTGTAAATTTGGAGGTTCATATTGATGATCATCTTCATCGGAGAGACTAATATCCGACTCGTATAGAGCTTTTTCAAGTTCCTTCTCACTTAGTGCTGCAACAAATGAAACCTTTATTTTATGTTGTTAAGTTAAAAATATTATTAATAATTTTTTTACAGTTGTTGAGAACGCATGTTATATACCCGCATGACAAAAAGAAAATATCAACAGAGGATGAAGGTCCCGTGTAATAGCAGAAGGACATAAAACTATCATAATCGATAAACAGTGTATATCGTCATAGATTACAAAAATAACCATCGATTCATGTAAAGTGTTTATTAAACCACATTATTATAATAATGGAAATAAATAACATATGATATTCTTAATAATGTCAGGTTACTTACAGCGAATTCGGAAACGGTCGGCCATGTTACCACACCATTTGTCATATGCACTACACACCGAACATATTTTTACAGATTTCTTTGCAACCACCTGATATTGTAAAGTAAAACAGCTCTCCTTTCATACTTATTTTATTTTATTTATTTATCATACGGTTTAAACCATTTACAAAATACATAAGTTTATAGTATAAAAAATATACATAAATAATAAAATACTATGTAGACCTAACACATTTTTTTTACTTCGCCACTCTTTTCACTTGATACAGGGAAGAGTTAAAAATATAAATATTCTGTTTTGCTGCAAATGTATTAGCATTTCTCAGAAGTCTGGCCATACCAATTCCTGAGCCATAGTTAGTTCTATGAGCTTTCAAAGCAAATGTTTAGCTACCACGCAACGGCCTAGGTGGGATATAAAAATCTACACTTTGCAAGAGTTCAGGAGAATCAACAAGGTTATTTACAAGTTTACAGATAAAAAGAAAATCAATAAATTCTCTTCGGGAAGCTAACGTTTCATTATTTGTTATGGCAAGCATATTTGTATAAGAGTACGATAGTGACAATTTAAAAGCACAAAACATTAAAAATCTACGCTGTACTCTTTCAAGCTTTTTAATATGAATTTATGCATATGGTGATCAAATAATAGAAAAATATTCCAATTGTGACCTTATGAACGAATAAAATAAGATTTTAATTGTATGCAAATTCACAAAGTCTGCGGAGTACCTTCTCACGAATTCTAACTATTTTAAGACTTTCCCAGCAACATAATTGACATGCTGAGAAAAAGACAGATTAGATTGAAATATAACACCAAGATCTTTTATACTGTCAACTTTATTAATACGATTTCCATGCAACTCATAAGTATGATTAATTAGGTTTATATTAAGCCCCTTATAAAAAGACACTACCTTACATTTTAAGGGATTAATTAATAATCCATGCAAAAAGCAGTATTCATTCAAACTGTCTAAATTTTTCTGCAGTATGAGACAATCAAAGGGATCTTTAATGATATTAGACAATTTGATATCATCAGCATACATTAAAACTTCAGTATCATTTAATTGTTTCACCACATCATTAATGTAAATGTTAAATAACAATGGGCCCAAATGTGATCCCTGAGGGATCCCTGATATCGCTGCATATTCACAAGAAATGGCATTTTTAATTTTGACACGACAAACACTATCTGTAAAATAAGAAATTAGCCAGTTCAAAGCCTGTCCATAAATTCCTAGAGCATACAATTTACCCTTTAAAATATTGTGGTCAACTCGATCAAAAGCTTTCGTCAAATCTGTATAAATTTCATCTACTTGAAGACTATCTTCTACAGAAGTTGCAACATACTCGGTGAAGAGCATCAAATTGGTCGTAGTTGATCTGCCAACGTGAAAGCCATGTTGTTTGCTACTAATCACATTTGAAAGCTTTTCACTTAGTTGGTCATTAACAATACTCTCGAAAACTTTGGGAATTGACGATAAACTGGTGATCGATCTGTAATTAGTAATAAGCAAAGGATCTCCAGACTTTAACAAATGTTTAACAAATGATGTTTTCCTCTTGATGGGAAAAACGCCTTTAGTTAGCGATTTACTGAACAGAAGCCATAGAGGCCTTGCCATAGCAAAGGCACACTGCTTCAAAAACTGATTTGTAATCTGATCTGGTCCGGGGCTCTTCCCAGTATCAAGTGAATTTAAACAACCTAACACATCGGTTATATTTATAGTAAAATTATTAACATTAGTAAAATCATTAGCAGCACATTTAAAATTGTCAGTGTCATTCTGATCAAAACTGTAAACTGAACAAAAATATTTAGCAAAAGCGTCTGCAGTTGACTGATTTTCAGTAAAAACTTTATCTTCTAATCTCATTGTCTAGGCATATTACAATTATGACCTTTAGAGTTTTCAAACTTCCAAAATGGTTTGGAGCTAAAATTAATCAACATTTCGGTATCCTGAACATATGATTGATAACATTCTTTTGACAATAATTTACAGCGCTATCTTAAATTTTTATACTCAGTATAATGATGATTAGAATTGCTTTTTTATATCTCAAATGAGCTGCTTTTTTTCCGATATCAAGTTTTTTATTTCAGTTGTAAACCAAATGGGAAATTTGTTATTGTAATTATTTTTTTCTTAGGTACAAATAATTCTAAATTATTATAAACAATGTCATAGAAAATGGATACACAACTATTAACATCATTGTGAATAAAATGCTGATCCCAGTTAATATTAATATAAACATCATTTAGGCTTTTATAGTCGGCCAAGTTAAAATCATAAACATTCTCATTCACATTACCACCTTCATTAAAGTTTAAAGACAAAGACAACTCAAGAGGTGGATGGTGTAAACTAGGTTTCAATAGAAAATTATTAGATAGAGATACACAATATCTAAGTACATTACTAAAAACTAAATCTAAAACTCTGTTGTTACCATTGTGGATTTCATTTAACTGATACATGTTGCTGAGTGCTAAGTACTCAATTAACGCTTGTGCTCTTGGACCTCCATTACTGGCTATAACACCAATCGCCGACAAAATATATATTCTTGTTATCGTAACTTTCACAAATATGTTCAACAGTTTGACCATGACACTCATACACATCCACAGGGGAAGAAGGTGGGATATACACGGCACAAATGCAGCATTCATTTTGAATCGAGACACAAATTTGTTCACAATAAACTGCGCCAATGGGGAGTTTCAACTTCACAGAATCGATGTTATTCTTAACGGCAATTAAGATTCCTCCTCCTCTAGATTTACCTGTCACTTCTGTATCGCAATCGCATCTGTATAACGAGTAGCCGGCAAACCCCAACTCTGCATACGTAAATATGTAGGTATATTTTTTTAGTAATATAATTATGATGATTTTTTCATGTAGGTAAATTAGATTATGAGTTGGACGTTATTTGTCCTTGTCCACCGCGACCTTTTCAGATCTATTGTGGAACTCCTGTTTGTCGTCTAGCCTGATCTTTTTAATTAGTCTTAGTAGCTTTGATAGTGGCTCCCGCATGTAGTTGCATGCAATTGGCTTTTCTTCGCCCAATGTTAGAAACCTCGTTCCAGCCAGGCATTCACATTGGCACAAAACGTGGAATATTGTTTCTTCTTCTTCTTCACAGAACCTGCACAAAGTTGCTTCAACTGCTGGATTTATGACACGCATGTGCCTTTTGAGACGACAGTGTCCAGTAAGAAGGCCTACTGTTATCCTAACGATTTGACGCTTTTGATCCAGTAGATCTTTCGTGAACTTGGCCGATGGTTCCTTGATGAACTTTATGGCCTGTCTCAGTCTTGGATAGTTGTTTCACCATTCCTGAGACTCTGTTTGCATCCATTGTTTAAAGGATGCCTTGTACAATGCCTTAGCAACTCCACATAAGGGTTCGGGGCCTGTCATGGCCTTATCTAAGCCTCCTCGGGCTAATTCGTCGGACTTTTCGTTGCCCTGATATCCCTCATGGCCTGGAACCCAGGCTAAGGTCACCTTATTTTAACTACTTAGCTCTGTCAGCTTTTCTAGACAGTCTTTCACCAGTCGTGATTTGATTTCTGGTGAGAGAATTGCCTTTAGAGCTGCTTGGCATGATACTTGCTGATTTTTCATGTAGGTAAATTCAAGTACAAGTAAATTCAAATACAAGCGAATTCAAGTTACCTTTCGATTTTTAATATTTATTGGTTTATAGTTTATTGGCATTTACTATATATTTGCCTGGTATGATGTGAACCAAAATTATTTAAAATTTTAAATTAACATTAAGTAGGTAGGGATATCTAAATAAAACTGTCCTAAAAATATATAATTTTTTAATTAATAATTACAAAAAACATGGTATGGCAAAAAATATCGTAAAAAACTGTAAAAATTTATAAAAT